CAAAGAATCGAGGAAAATCACCGAACAGATCAAACGTGACTTGTTGGAACTATGGAGAAAAAGGGCACTTTCGGACAAACTGTACAAAGCCAAAAAAGAAACAAAATCAGAAATTTGGAGATGACAATGATTTTGTAAATTCAGAAGAGGACATTGGGGATGCGCTAATCCTTAGTGTGAACAGCCAGTTAAATCATGGATTTTGGATTCTGGTGCATCTTTCCATTCGTCTCCAAGCAAGGAGTTGTTCCAAAACTTCAAGTCTGGAAATTTTGAAAAAGTATATCTTGCTGACAATAAAGCCTTAAAGATTGAAGGAAAGGGGGATGTTTGCATAAAGACCACCTCGGAAAACCAGTGGACATTGGAGGATGTCAGATATATTCCTGGGATAAAAAAAATCTGATCTTTATTGGTTAGTTGGATAGCACGGGATATGCAGCAGAGTTTGGGAAAGGTTCGTGGAAGATCGTGAAAGGTGCTATGGTAGTAGCTCGTGGCACCAAATCTGGAACCTTGTACACCACTGCAGGGTGTATAAAAATGGCCGATGTTGCTGAAGGTGCTTCCGATTCATGTCTGTGGCACAACAAACTTGGACACATGAGTACCAAAGGAAAGGTATTGATTATGCTGGAATATTCTCTCCTGTTGTGAAGTTAACCTCTATTCGAATTTTGTTGAGTGTTGTTGCATCGGAGAATTTGCATCTAGAGCAAATGGATGTAAAAACAGTGTTTTTACATGGAGATCTGGACAAAGAGATCTATATGCAGCAACCAGAAGGATTTGTGGTTCCAAGCAAGGAGCACATGGTGTGCAAGCTCACCAGGAGCTTGTATGGACTAAGGCAAGCACCAAGGCAGTGGTACAAGAAGTTTGACTCCTTCATGACCAAGAGTGGATTCTGCAAAGCTGAAAAGGATCCTTGTTGTTACTTCAAGAAATACACTGATTCATATGTCTTTCTACTCTTGTATGTTGATGATATGTTGATTGCAGTATCTAGTATAAGGGAGATTAACAATCTGAAGACAAGGTTGTCTGCAGCATTTGAGATGAAAGATTTAGGTCCAGCGAAGCAGATTTTGGAGATGAAGATTTCTCGGGATAGATCTGTTGTCACTTTAAATCTATCTCAGGAGTTGTACATTGAGAAGGTGCTGAGCAGATTCAGGGTTAATGATGCTAAACCCAGGACTACTCCATTGGCAATTGTCAAAGGAGCAGTCCCCAAGACTGCCGAGGAGCGTGATCAGATGACACTTGTTCCATATGCTTCAGCAGTTTGTAGTTTGATGTATGCTATGGTCTGCACTAGACCTGATATAGCATTGGGAAGCTGTGAAGTGGCTTCTGAGATATCTAAGAGGTACATCCAGTACTTCACTTTGTTTTAGCAAAGGCAATATGACTCTACAGGGTTTTGTGGATGATGATTTTGGTGGGTATGTTGACTCGAGCAAGAGTACATCCGGGTACATTTACACCATAGGTGGAACAGCAGTGAGTTGGATGTCCAGGCTTCAAAAGTGTGTTTCTCTTTCATCTACTGAAGCTGAGTATGTGGCAATAGCTGAAGATGGGAAAGAGATGATATGGCTGGCAGATTATCTTGAGGAATTGGGCAAGAAGCAGAGCGAGAAGATTCTTTACTCAGATAGCCAGAGTGCCATACAGTTGGTGAAAAATCCAATCTATCATTCGAAGACAAAGCACATCAGAAGGCGATGTCATTTCACTCGTAAGGCAGTGGAGGATGGTGATATGTGCTTGGAGAAGATAGAGGGTGCAAAGAAACCGGCAGACATGTTGACGAAATGTGTTAATGTTGGGAAACTGAGGTTATGTAAAACCTCGGTTGGTCTTCTGTAGTTGTTGCTATAGATGTTGCGGTGCGGTAAAGATGTTGATGATGAAGAGATTTTTTTTGAGAATGTGTTTTTTGGATGACTAAGTCAGTCTCCAAGTGGGAGAATTGTTAGGTAGTGGAGCTTGATTAATTTTAGGTTTTCCTATTTATTCTCTATTTTAGGTTTTCCTCCTATTTATTCTCTATTTTAGGCTTTCCTATTTATTCTCTATTTATTCTCTGTAACCAAAAATACTCTAATTTATTAATATAAATATACCTCACCACCGTGGAGTTTACTCACGGGGTGTTATCACAAAATATTGGGTTTTCTCTTTCTCTCTCCAGATCTCTCATCTCTTTCTCTTGAAAGTTCTTGTGTTCTTCATTCATCTAGTGTGTGTGCGTGAATTCGATCCTAACAGTCTGATGTGGAACCAGACTTGTGAGGGGCATTGATAGAGGATACATATGTTGTTCCACAAATCATTAGTCCAATTGATAGTGAAAATGCTTGAGAATAATTGTATTTTACTTAAGTCATTTGAACACATTAAAAAATAAATGAGACTAGCACGGTTTGTCTTCATTTCTTCAATCAAAATTATTACAATTCGAACACAATTGAAGACGTTTACAATAGAAAAACTGATCAAAATCAACCAACAGTGTTTTAAAGAAACAAATTATGGATTGTTCAATAATTCAATTAAAAAATGACGTAGTTGAGATACCTGAGAGAAAAAACACAATAGATTTAGAAACTTATTTATGTATTTGGCCGATATAGAATTTATTTTCTAGCAAATAAAAAACACAAGAACAATAAAAGTTTTATAATATTATAAAATCTCCTTTCTACCTAAAGTAGTTTTATTACACCAAGAAGACATCCATCCCTTAATAGCATACCGTAAAAACAAGTATAGATTAACAACATTTATTCTATGACAACTCCATAACTTTTCAAAAAATAAAACATACCAACTATCATACGTAACAATATCTTCATAGCTGAACTTCATCAAGTCTGTTTATACGAATAGAACGAAAAGACCATAATATAGAGCGCGCTTCTTCATATATTTCTCTATGGAAGGCCAAGGTGTTGTTTCATTTTTAACACATACTCATAAACTTTATTTGATTCCGCTAGAGATTTGGAGACGCTATCTTTATATATACATTTGTTGGCCCATGCCACAAACTTTGGACACTCTTTCTCTATGTTAAAATTCCCAAATTTCTCAAAAGTTGGGAACCAACTATAGAAAGGAATTAAAGCCAAATCCACAAATCCAAAATTTTCTCCATTGAAATATGTCTTATCTCCTAATTCTCCTTCCAATAGTTTTAGGTATTCTATGAATTCTTTCTTGGCTGCCTCTTGATCTTCTCCTTTTGTAGCCCATATTCTCTTTCCGCTATCATAGACCTGAAAAAAAATGTTATCTATTAAGAAATTTTTCTTTTTTTAATTCAAGTAAATTATATTTTTATCTGATCTCAATTTTAAAATATACAAAAAAAAATACAATAAAAATAATAATATGAAGATGAATAAAAGCGACTTCGCCCTAGGTGGATGAACACCAAGTAAAAAAACTGAAATACAAGTAAAATATCTGAACTTTTAATCTTTATGATTAAAATTCAAGCAAAAACAACTAAATTTTATTCATGTATACATGAATTTCAGTTATATAATTGAATTAATTTCATGTAAAAAAAGATATCTCAATTTCAATTATATATACTTGAAATTTAATTATATGAAATTTCAAAAATACTGATAGATGTCAATCATCTATTCATATGACTTAAAACGGTGATCCCAAAATCAAACGTACACTTCTTATTTAACTAACTAAAATTAGTACAATCATTCTCAACTACCTACAAACTTGTTAACTTTAATATTTTTATATTTACGCCCAACTATATTTTAGTAATAAAAAAAAATATAATATATAGATGTAATTATATACCTTTTTGTCAATAAAATCAGCCCAAAACCTAGCTTGAGCCCTCTTATAAGGATTAAAAGGCATCAAAGGAGATTTGTCCTTCCAAACTTCATCTATGTACTCAACAATTATAAGTGACTCACAAATTGGTTTTCCATTATGAATTAACACTGGAATTTTCTTATGAATTGGATTCATTTGTAATAAAAGTTCACTTTTATTACTCAAATCTTCCTCTTTATATTCATATTGAATCCCTTTTTCATGTAATGCAATTCTTACCCTCATACCAAACATACTCACATAAGCACTCAAAAGAACAACTTCATTACTCATTTTTTGATATAATTAAAAGATATATACTAGATGAAATTAAAATATATATATGTGATGAACACTTAAATAGAAAATTATGTCTATAAATAGAGTTTGTTGATTGTACTATCAAGAATGACTACATATTTCTAGGAACTTCTCTTATAATCTAGAAATTTTTAAAATTTAATTTTACACATGTAAATTTTAAAAACAAATTTAATTGATCATTGTTATCTTAAAGAAATGAATCACTTTACTATAAATAGAAAATATGATTAGTCATAGGTTGGTGAGGCTTTTTAATTTAATTTATTTGTATTATCAAGAATGCCCCACATCTTTCTGGACCTTCTCTTTTTAAAATCTGGAGAATAAAAATAAAAATTGGATTGTCATTATCCTTATAGTTATATTATATTAATATATATGTGTTGTGTCATCAAAATCCTGAATAATAAGACAATTTGAATTAGTATTAAATAAGTCTAAATTAGTCTCTCAGATGGAGAGTCATTTTCATTTAAAAAACAGTTTACTCTACAATTATGTAAGATTTTTTAATATAAATTTAAATTCAATCAAATTTTAATATTAAATAATAATAATTAAAAAAAATAAAATATATATATATATATATATAAACGTAGAATTTAAATTTCTTAACCCGTACAATTTACACTATAATCATTACATCATAAAACTTCTTGAGTATGGTCACATATATATTAAGTAGTTTTAAAAATACTTTATATATATAGCACTATCGATACATTATAGAATTATTGCTAGGAATATGAGTACATAGGTGAACTCATGTTCCTTCGTATAGATACACTACTCTTAATACTTTATCATTTACGTGATTTCAACATTTAATCGTATCGACTAGTATTATTACAAGGAAGATGAATACATAGATAGTGAACTCATGTTCTTTCATATAAATACACTTTTTATCAATTAATATTCATATTTATCATTTACGTTACTTCAATATGCAAATGTATCGACTAATAAGGTAGACGTTAAATTATTAGACCCTCTCACAACTCATTATATGATCCCATCTCAAAATAAGTGATATGATATCCAATCATTAAAATATAAAATTCTGAATCCATCTCGATATTTATTAACCATGTGATCACCAACCTTTCTTGAAATCCAAATAAGCTTGGTAGACTTGATTTGAAGTAGGAAGTGACTTGGATACTGAGTCTCTATTCAAACACCTTTCTCCCCACATCACTAACTTGGGGCATTGTATTTCAATTGTGTTGAAATTTGCAAAGGTCTTGAAGACAATGAACCAATTGTAGAAAGGAACAAGTGCAATGTCTACAAATCCAAATACATCTCCTCCAAAATAAAGTTTATCTCCAAGTTCTTCTTCCAAAAACTTTGAACATTCTACAAGTTCTTTCTTGCCATTTTCTTGCTCTTCAATTTGCCCCATCCATACCTTTACACTTGACCCATGTACCTAAAATTAATGCTCTTTGTAGGGTTATTCCTTTTAATTTTTCTTAAACTTTATATCAAGTCAAAAAAATAAACAAATTAAAACAAAAAAAAAGTATTAATTTATATTATATCTTCTCTGTTTAAAAAAAGAATGACCTAATTTTATTTGAAACAGAATTTAAGAAAAAAAAAGATAATTTTTAATCTCGTGATTCTAACTTTAATTTAAGTCAAATATATCAAAATATTCTTTAATCTTATGGTCTTAAACATGTATGTGAAAAGTTAAAATATTATCAAAAAAAGGTTATAATCATTCTTTTTGAAACAAACTAAAAAGAAACTAAGTTCATTCCTTTTTAAATGAATGAAATAATATATATGCATTGAATGATTAAATTCTGCATAACTACGTATAACTGATTCTTAGATACTAATACATATGTAACTCTAACCACCAATAAAACAACCCTGAATCTATACAAGGTAATGAAATCACACAAACATATATGAAATGAATTAAGGAAGAGTTAAAAAGTCCTTTACCTTTTTATTGATAAAGTCAACCAAGAACCTAGCTTTAGCTCTTTGATAAGGTTCATAGGGCAATAAGGGAGAATTATTTTTCCAAATCTCATCAATATATTGAATAATGATATTTGATTCACAAATAGATTTACCCTTGTGAACAAGAACCGGTATTTTGTGATGAACCGGGTTCATTTCCAAAAGCAAAGGACTTTTATTAGACAAATCCTCAAACTTGTGGATGAAATTGACTCCCTTTTCAACTAGGGCAATTCTTGCCATTGTTCCAAAAGGACTAGCCCAATAATCTAAAAGTACAACTTCTTCTTCTTGTGTCATGTTTTTTTTTTTGTTGAAAAGTTAGGGATATTAGTAGACTTGTAAGAAGAAGAGGTAATTAAGAGTGTTGAGGGTTTTTGTGATTCTTTTTATGGTGTGGTAGAGTCATTAAGGAGATAATTAACAAGAAAGGGATAATTATGTAAATATTTGAATTTTTTATTAATCGAGTCTTTTTCTGTATGATTCTTTTTATGGTGTGGTATAGTCATTAAGGAGATAATTATCATTTGATTGAGACAAGAAAGGGATAATTATGTAAATATTTGAAGTTTTTACTAATTGAGCTTTTTTTTTGTGTGATTTTTTTTATGATGTGTTAGAGTCATTAAGGAGATATTTATCATTTGATTGAGACAAGAAATGAACAATTATGTAAATATTTGAATTTTTTACTAATTGAGTCTTTTTTTCCTTTTGTGTTAAAGACTAGTTAATTAGAGGATTATTGGTTTGTGGCTTAACCAAGATTTGAATCTTTATATATAATGGTGTATTTATTTAAATTGATAGCTGAGAACTTGTTTGATTTGAGTGTAATCTTACTTGTTAAAGATGTTGAAGAAACTATTAATGTAATATGGATTTATTTTTAAGCTATCGTTATATTCATATTTATTATATCATATCACCACTAATCACTTTTTATCATTACAATTATTATTATCATTGGTAACTATTTGTTATCATCATCAATAACTATTTTCATCATTACGATCATTATGTAAAACAATATTGAAACTACTCCTGCGACTCTTTTAAAGAGTTCGAATCCTATATTAACTAACAATTCTATGGACAAGGGATGATTTAGTTTTAATATGATTAGATCTCCTAAGTCATATATAACTTATACTTTATTGTTATATATAAATGTTGAAAGCTACATAGATAATACATCACTTCGTACTTTTTTTTGAATCAATATCATAGATTGTTAATTATTATTATCAATCGTTATTATATCTACCATCTTTATCATTATAATTATGTACCATTGTCACTATCAATAAGATCAGACATTATCTACCTCTATTATCACGTGTAATTAAATAAATTCGTAAAATATTAATCGAAGTCAATCAAAAAATAAGTTTTGTTAAACTTATAAATAATTTAATATAACTAGTATTGTCGATACCACATCTACAAGGTAACCTCTTTTTCCTTTTTAAAAAATAAAACATTTCCATGTGAAAAAAAGTTATTAAATTTTTAATGATATATTAAATTAGACATGAAAAATAATTCAATTATGTCTGCCATTGGAGTCCAATTCAGTCAACTTGACAAAAAAAAAACCCAACTGTTTGACCCGTGAAATTACAAATTGGGTCATTTCCTTTTCTAGCCAACTCCATTGTTTCACTTTCCCTTTTGATCATCATCAATCTTCATCACTTTTTTTCGCCCCAATTTTTTTTTTTTTTGGCCACGATGGGATCTCTTCTCCGGATGAATCGCCTTGTAAGTCTCATAAACCCTAACTAGTTTTTTTTAGTTTTTTTTGCTAATTTTGACTTTTAATTGCTGAAAAATAGTCTTATTGAAGTGTTTTTTTAGGTTTACTTGTTGTTAATTAGCTTCACTTGTGATAATGTATTTAAAGTTCGTGATGAATCGTTTTGAATGTTGAATTTCAGCTCATTTTTGTAGATTGTTTTGTTTATAATAACGATTGATTTTTGGTGATTAACTAGCTGAAATTGATTAATTTACAATAAACTAAACTGAATAAATTGAAGTTTCCAGGCAGTAACTGAGGTTTGGTTTTTCATGGAGCAAGGTTATTAGTTTTTGGATAGTGGGGTTTGGAATGATTAATGTATAAATGAACTGAAATTGCAACCAATTAATGATTTTTAGAGTTTATTTGCTTTTGTTGTGATGATGTCTTCATGATTATGATCATTCTTTTTTTGGAATATGTTCTTATGGGTTGAGTTTGTGGGATGAATGTAAAGTTCAACTCATTTGCGCATGTTCTTTTTATTTATCCCCGTAAGACTGATTTCGGTGTTTAACTAGCTCAGATTAGTTAGTCTACAACTACATGCCAAGTGTAATCCGACAAAATGGGATCTAGGGAAGTAAGAGTGTAAGCAGACCTTATCAGTTATCCCTACCTTACCACAAATGAGATTTGGGATAAGATGTGTATCCGTCATCTCTAGTGGTTCACTATCTGAGGAATAATTCATGGAAGAAGCCTATAGTAAACACATTCGCTAAACATATCTCAAGGTGGTATGAAAGAAGAAATAAATGAAGATTAAAGGCATGTGAGAGTGATAAAAACAAACCAAAAGTTGTTAATGGGGAAGAGTTCAAATTGAGAAATAATTTCATGTGTTAAGTATGCACAAGAAAAATATGTCACATGCGGTGAAAACTTTGCACTAACCGCATGTGCCACAGTTTTCCCAAGTTAAGAGAATCTAATACTAGTAAAATATAACTCAAACAAATTCAAACCATCAAAAAATGGGGAAGTGAACATTTAAACGAATAATATCGAGGATGTTACATACTAATAAAATGAGCATAATATTTGGATGATGAATAATATCTTTGAAGTGCTGAATAATGATTGTATGACTATCACTCTGGGGAAACAAATTATTCTGAAATGCTTTGTCACTGAAAGTGAATATGACGTCATTGAAATTTGGAGGATCTAAGTAGATTCATGCTTTCTTACATCATATGTTCTTTTCTATTGTAATGTTGGTTTCTATAGCATCATTATATTGCTCAAATTTATTTCACAGTTCTAACCACATAACCTATTTTCAGAATTTGTATTTGTTTTGTCCCACAAAATAATGAACATTAAGACCAAGCATGTGCATGTCATACGTTCGGTAACGTGTACATTTTGCCTTTTTTTTCCTTTTTAAAGAGGTCATGGGCTTCGTCATTATTAATACAAAATGGACAAAGACACGTGAATGATATGCTCTAGTAAATATGCTCCTCATTAACCATAGGCAGCTCTAGTAACAGTAGATGTTTAGAAGAAGGAACACATCAAACCAAGATATCAAGAAGAAAAAAGTGACCAAATCCGTCCCTAAATATTTTCTTTCTTTATTGTCTATATATGTATATATTTTATGACATCCAATAATAATAAATGTTAGCGTAGATGGTCAAGACCTCATAATTTATTTTTGATGAAGAGACCTCATAATTTATTTTGTGAACACGATTCATACGTTCTAGTGTATTTAGCCATTGGTTGATGCATAAGACAAAAATTCTTGTTGTTTGTCGTTCACCACATGTGAAAATCAAATTATAGATAATGAAAATCAGATTATAGATGACTATTGAACAGATGAAGAACTACAAAATAGATGTAAATATGATTCTTTTACTTATCCTCCGTAGATGCCATAAAAATCAAGTACTCAGTTCAAGTTTTTAAAATAAATCATTAGAAGTAGGAAAACATTAGCTAGACTTAACAGTTTAAATTTTTGCTTCTTCTTGAAGGACTTAGTGTGGGGCTTCCATCGTTTTTTGTGAGAAATCTCCTGAAAATGAAGGTGAAATTGGCATTGTTAATAATACCATGTTTAGGATAATGTAAGGTGGCAACTATTCATTGGGAGAAATTATTGTCAAAGCGGTTTCTTTTCTTCCGTTGGCTGCATTAGGTGTCTTTTGAAGTAGGTTATAGGTGTCTTTTGAAGTAGGTTATTTAGGTTAGGGATATTTAGGTAATAACTTTTAAGTTTTTGAGTTCATGCTTTCAGTATAATATAGATCGGTCTCTAACCATATTTTTACTTGTGATCAAGCCATAGATACCGGTAAGAAGAGAAATAGATGATAAAAATGATAATTATAATTTTTTTTTGTATAACAAGCTGTTCGTTTTCTATTTAATTCATAGAAAATATATGTTCTTGGGAGTCCCTGATGGTTAAATACAACAAGATTCACCATGACTGCTACTTTAGAGAAACACTTGAGTGAAAGCCTATAAAATTGCATCTGTAACTGGATACCTACATTGAAAACCATCGTTCACGCTTCGATTTTGATCATTTTGGACTAGCAGCACTATCCTTGTATACTAGACAGGCTACTGTGATCATATTCTCTCTGCTATGATCAATAATGGGCTCAGAAAGCAGCTCTAATATTAATTGCAATAAACTAAACTTGCAATCTATAGAGAGAAAAGGAAAAGTTCATTTAATTGGTAAAATTGTGTAAAGCTCTCAGTACAATAATTCAAAAGGGAGATGATACAAGAGAAAGGGATTAAGAGGCAACTCCATCAACTGAGTTTTGTTTACCCAATGATTGATTTCATGCCAGAATGAATCGAGGAAACAAGGATGTCTATAATGTCAACAATCCCTCCACTCCTGCAGGAAGGTGAAAGGAGAGAAACTGGGAGAGGAAGAAAAGAGGAACTTTACCACTCCTCTGTTCTAATCTATGTGAAGGTGTTTGACTGTGCTCGACGTTTAAGAATGAAAGGAAGACTTTTGAGACTTGTTGTTCAAAGTAAGCCATTGTTAAGGGTAAAATGTGAAATTTAAAGTTTAATTGTTACTAAATATAGAAATATGTCTCTTTTTGGGGCTTATTTTAAAGGAAAGAGTGTCACATTAATTGGGACAAAGGGATGCATTTTCTGTCCAAAATTAAGATGTATATACTTAGATGCAAGTGGCACCATAGATCTGGTACTACCAAAAGGTATCCAATTAATCCATGCTTGGCCTCCCATTACAATGCCTGTAAGAAATAATTGTTCTTTCCACCTCCACAACTAATTGTCGAACTATTATATCTATCTTTATTCCCTTAAATGTGAAACGAATTACACAGACTATTTGGCGCTACTTTTTTCCTAGATATATTGAAGACCTAGTTTCTTATATTTGTGGGAAGCATTTGGAATTTTCTATAAGAACTATATCATGTTCGAAAACATTCTTATAATTTTCGACAAGATTGCTGAAGGAGTGTCTTATCTTTTATGTATTCTTGACTAGAGGAGTTTAATAAAAAGAAAATAGAAAGGAACAAAGAAACGTACAAGTGTATAAAAGGAGTTGGGGCAAAGACATCAGAAACATTTAGACCTACGATTTCATCCTACATGTTATGGTTTTAGTTCGTTAGAGGTTTTAACATATTAAATCAGCAAAGTTGTGACATACATAAAGTGCATAACATAAAGATGAAATTCACAATTTGCTGATCTTTTGGTGCAAGGGAACTATTTTTTACACTATAAGTTAGCTGTTAATTTCAATATTGGCTTCTTCTACACCTTGTTGTTCTTGAGTATAATTCTATTTTCACAAACATATGTCAGAACTTATGCTGCAATTAAATATATTCAGGTTGTTTAACTCTTGTACAGCTTGTTATTCTTCTGAGGCATATTTCCTTCTCCTTATTTGCTAACTTGTGCTGCAGTTATCTTCCATCGTGGAGTCATGTAACTGCATCATTGACCCACAGTTGCCTGCTGACGACTTGCTAATGAAGTATCAGTACATTTCTGATTTTTTCATAGCACTTGCTTATTTCTCCATTCCAGTGGAGTTGATATACTTCGTTAAGAAGTCTGCTGTCTTTCCATATAGATGGGTTCTTGTGCAGTTCGGTGCTTTCATAGTTCTTTGTGGAGCAACCCATCTTATCAACTTATGGACATTTAATATGCATACAAGGAATGTGGCAATAGTAATGACTACTGCAAAGGCCTTGACTGCACTGGTGTCATGTATAACTGCTCTCATGCTTGTCCACATCATTCCTGATTTATTAAGTGTCAAAACTAGAGAACTGTTCTTGAAAAAGAAAGCTGCACAGCTTGACCGTGAAATGGGTATTATTCGGACTCAGGAGGAGACAGGTAGACATGTTAGAATGCTAACTCATGAAATCCGAAGCACTCTTGATAGACATACTATTTTAAAGACTACACTTGTTGAGCTAGGAAGAACATTGGCATTGGAAGAGTGTGCATTATGGATGCCAACACGTACTGGACTAGAGCTTCAGCTTTCTTACACTTTACGACACCAAAATCCAGTTGGATTAACTGTACCCATTCAACTTCCTGTAATCAATCAAGTTTTCGGTACAAATCATGTCGTGAAAATATCACCAAATTCTCCTGTCGCAAGACTTCGACCTGCTGGGAAATACATGCCTGGTGAGGTGGTTGCTGTCAGGGTTCCACTTCTGCATCTGTCGAACTTTCAGATTAATGATTGGCCTGAACTTTCAACAAAGCGCTATGCTTTAATGGTTCTGATGCTTCCTTCAGACAGTGCAAGACAATGGCATGTTCATGAGCTGGAGCTTGTTGAAGTGGTAGCTGATCAGGTTTGATTTTTGTTATTGAAAATTCCTTAATATAATGTTAAAATTTCTCTTTTATATATTTTTGGGTTGAACACAACCACGTTGACATACTGAGTTCTGGGTGTAAAATTAGACATGGAGAAGACCAATTACAAAAATCTGAGAATCTGCTAGCAGAATCACAAGGCTTAGTTGTTCTTAGTATTATGGTTTTATCCATTGGAATTGCACAGCAGAATTGTTATTACTGTTATTTTTTTTTAAAATTTTCAAAGATAAATCAAAAGCTGAACTATATGATCTTTTTGCATACTTCGTCTGCTGATTGCTTTTTGGTGATGGAATAGTTAGGCTGGGTTGTGGATGAGTATATCATAGTAGATTTTCTGATAGGATCTTAACTCCTTGGCTTTTGTTTTCTATAGATGATCCCTTGTATTAGAAGCACGGGAAATAGGATCGATGGTATATAGAAATATTAGGAACAGCTTTTCTGAATCATTTGAATATTCCTTTTATGGAACATAGAACTTCTTGCAGTGTATGTAGTTTTCTTAGTACTTTTATCATATGAAGTGAAAATAACGTTTTGCGATAATGTATTTGAGTGTGTAAAATTAAATACTACTGAGTTTTACAAAAATAATTCTTCAACGGAAGCCATTTATTTTTTTTACATATCTGGCATCTTACTTCTCCATCAAAGACTTTAGAGAACTTTAACTTTTTCATTCTGTCTCTCGTAGTGTACTGTTCTCTGATGTATGTAATTAGCTCACTGGCAAGTAGCACACCTAGTCTTTGTTTGACTTGTTTAAAAATCATGATGTATCATCAGTTACGGTGAAGTGTCCAAGTTTTACTGCTTTTTGCTATTTGCATTGCAGAGTCTTAAAACATTTCAGTTATTCCTGGATTTCTCCTGTTTATCAATGGAAAATTCAACTTAATCAACTATGCCTCAATCAATAAATGAAACCTCTATATCTAACCACTCCAACTCAGATCCAGAAATCAGATTTCAAAGAAATTCATCATAACTCAACTATAGGATTGCTGTTAACCAAGAGTAATCCTCATTTGTCCAGACAGGCGACCAGCTATTATGCTTTCATTATGGGAAAAATTGACAATTAATTAAAGGAAGGAACAACTGAAGAAAAGACATCCTTGTCAGCTTCCTCTCCCCAACCCTTGCCTGAATAAGACAAAAAGTTTCTTGGAGAAAACTCTGAATATTGGTATCCACCTCCTTTCTCCTAATTTAGGATGCTCTATTTCTAGACATATAGGGGAATACTCTATTCTAGTGGTCGGTGTCTGGTTGCAACTAGTTTTAGATGTTTATATGTCTTATTTGATTTAATAAGAGCTATCCTTGAGTGCCCAATGTGATTTAATCTACGCTTCGGCATTTCAGGTTGCTGTTGCTCTTTCACATGCTGCTATATTAGAAGAATCAATGAGGGCTAGGGATCTTCTTATGGAGCAGAATGTGGCTCTTGATCTGGCAAGAAGAGAAGCAGAAATGGCTGTTCGTGCACGTAATGATTTCTTGGCTGTTATGAATCATGAAATGAGAACTCCCATGCATGCAATAATTGCACTTTCTTCCTTACTACAAGAAACTGATCTAACTCCAGAGCAACGTCTGATGGTTGAAACAATCCTCAAAAGCAGCAACCTTTTAGCAACGCTCATCAACGATGTCTTGGATCTTTCAAGGCTAGAGGATGGAAGTCTTCAACTTGATATTGGCACTTTCAATCTCCATGCTTTATTTAGAGAGGTGCCCTTCATCACCCTCTTTTCTTTTTTACTTGCAAATTCTAGATTACCTGTCAGGAAAAAAAGTGTCATTACAGATATTTTGCACTTCAATATGTTTGCTGGACCTGCTGACTGATATATGTGTCTGCTTATTCCTGTAGGTCCATAGCTTAATCAAGCCTATTGCATCTGTGAAAAAGCTGTTCGTCACACTTAGTTTGTCGTCAGATTTGCCGGAATATGTAATTGGGGATGAAAAACGGTTAATGCAAATTCTCTTAAACGTTGTTGGCAATGCTGTAAAGTTCTCAAAGGAAGGCAACGTATCAATCTCCGCTTTTGTTGCAAAATCAGACTCTTTAAGAGATCCTAGAGCCCCTGAATTTTTTGCTGTGCCTAGTGAAAATCACTTCTATTTACGGGTGCAGGTATATTTTTACAAGCTTGATATACTATCTTCGTAGGTTAAGGATAGTCACAAATATGATATTTTAGACTTATAACTGTCAGATGTTCTGTTCTTGATATTTGTAATATTCTAAGTAATACTTTCTGTAGATAAAAGATACGGGGATAGGAATTACACCACAGGATATTCCCAACCTGTTTAGCAAGTTTACACAAAGCCAAGCGCTAGCAACTACAAATTCTGGTGGCACTGGGCTTGGTCTTGCAATTTGTAAGAGGTACGGGGTACCCAGTTCCTTAGTGTTCTTTTTCCGACTCTGATTTTCATTTTGCTACGTGAACTTGGTAACTGCTTCATATTCAATTTCTTTCCTCTTACTGTATTTAGTATTGACACATCTTCTGATGGGACACAAAACAGGTTTGTGAATCTTATGGAAGGACATATTTGGATTGAAAGTGAAGGTCTTGGCAAGGGGTCTACTGCTATATTTATCATTAAACTTGGCATTCCTGGACGTGCAAATGAATCTAAGCTCCCCTTTGTGACCAAATTGCCAGCAAATCACACGCAGATGAGTTTTCAAGGATTAAAGGTTTTGGTGATGGATGAGAATGGGTGAGTACTATCTGGACCCCTTTATCCTCAGCTCTTGTCTTGCCATGCTGTTTAATGATCCATCTAGTTCGTGAGTTTCTCATCTTATATGTATTGAGCTGTCTTACTCACTTTTACATGAGACTGAACAAGTAAATACTTAATAAGAGAGTACTGAAATTAGAATCTTTACAACTATATGTGGATGTGCTGGTGACATGTACTTAGGAGTATATGCCTTTTTCTAGGGCTAACCCATCGGTGGCCCCCTAAAGTTGGCATCAACTTTCACTTAGACACCTGAACTAGACTTTGTTCATTTTTGACATCTCATGTGAGGCTCTGATGTATCATTTAACACTTTTTGCTTTTTGCTGATATGGCATAGTGAGTGTGACTCACTCATTAACAGCGCGTCAGACTCTTTTTCAGCCAATTTTTATTTTATATTTCCTTCTTCTTCCCCATTTTTTCAACCACCATTTTCTCAAGTTTGAACTTCTTCCATGGTGAGATATATTCGATGATGCCACAAACGAGGAATCTAATTTCAAATGTCAGAGCTTTCTCCAAGATTTCCCAAGGATGATGCCCTTCTTCCTCAATTTAATTTGAGGGAAAAAGACTGAAATTTGAAGAAAAAAAAAGAAATTTGGGGAAGAATAAAAAATCATTAAAAAATGAGATAATCTCCTTAAAAGAAACTTAATAATGTGATATGAACACGTACACATTTGTATTTTTAGAAGTTCATTGGATCTTAGATTTTTTCTTTTTTAAGCAATAAAATCTGTAGAATTTTCTTTTAGCAATAAAATTTGCGGAGCTGCAATTATTTGAAAAAATTTGAGTTACACAAGTTCACTGAAGGGGTGTGTGCAGTGAGAAGACCATGAATGGGGTGGGGTTGGGGTGGGATATGCTTCTCCTAAAGATTTTTTAAGGTGATTTAATCCTTTTTAATATTATTTGGGAAGAAATGCCACGTGTCATCGATCCATTAGCCAATTTTTCTAAAAAAATAATAGATAGTTTATTATTTTGAAGAGAACGACAAGTGTCCTCATTTAATTTGACACTTTACACATCATCCGCGAGTGGAACACACTCACCATCATATTTTTGTTGAATGTAAAAAAAGTGCTAAATGACGCATCAGGGCCTCACATGAGGTGTCTAAAATGAACAAAGTCTAGTTCAGGTGTCTAAGTGAAAGTTAATGCCAACTTTAGGGGGCCACCGTTGGGTTAGCTGCTTTTTCTAATGAAAAGAAGGAAAAGTTAAGGATTTACAGTGTCAGGATCGCGAGAAGGGAAGGAGAGATCACCAGCCTGACCCTAGGAGCTCACATCTTTATCAGAGTATATGCCTTTTTTCTAATGAAAAGAAGGAAAAGTTTAGCATTTACGGTATCAGGATCGCGAAGAGGGAAGGAGAGATGACCAGCCTGACTGTAGGAGCTCACATCATTATCTCTAATTGGAAGAAGGAAGTGACCAACTGGAAGTAGTGCTTTCAAATCCAATAAAAGGGTATACTGCTCTTCCAGAAATAAGAGGATGGAGGAAAGAGTGACTTCATAGATGTCTTAATACAAGTCTTTGCTATGTATGCATCGAATTAAAAATGTCAGTCAATCTGGTTCGCCTTAGTATATATATATATATATATATATATATATATATATATATATAACAGTAACAGATTCCCTTTTCTCTTATCCTTTTATCGTCCCACCGCACCCCTGCCTTCCACACCGCTATTGATATCTTTAACCTGAGGTATTATAAATTGAACGCAGTTGTTTTATTGTCGGATAAGAATTTGTATGATTGGTAATCCTACGACTCTGTGATCGTTGCTTTTCTCTTTTTGATGTGACCTCATTATTATTATTTTTATTATTTATCCTACCTGATTATATGATTAGTTGACATTAGTTATCAGAATTGTTTTTGTTTCTTATACTCCTTCATGCAGTGTTAGCAGGATGGTAACCAAAGGTCTGCTTACACACCTTGGATGTGATGTAACTACTGTTGGCTCACGCGATGAGTGCTTGAGAGTTGTTACACATGAACACAAGGTAGTTATCATGGATGTCAGCATGCAAGGTATAGACTGTTACGAAGTTGCTGTAGTGATACATGAAAGGTTTGGGAAACGTCACGGTAGGCCACTTATTGTGGCATTAACGGGGAACACAGACAGAGTTACGAAAGAAAACTGCATGAGAGTTGGTATGGATGGAGTTATCCTAAAACCTGTGTCAGTGTATAAAATGAGAAGTGTTTTATCTGAGCTCTTAGAACATGGAGTTGTACTTGAATCTTAGTGAATGTAGGAGGAAAATATGCAGCAACCATATGAAAAATTCACCCAAATGCACGAGGCGTTGTATATAGTTCTCGTCTTTGGATTTCTTGGTGGATAACACAATATATCACTTGAAGAAGGTGTATGTAACGCGACGTTGCTCGAGGCATTCAACAAATTTGTAGAAAGGAGTTGATTTTTCCACTACCAGAAGTGTTCATATTCCATGGAACTTTGTATAAGATACTGATATTTGACACAACCCTTCATTTACTTGAAACATTAGAAACTTTATTGCCTTGGCTTGACACAACAATAGATTATTATGTGTTTTTTTTTAATTGCCTTTTCATATTCATAGTATTTTCTGACCTTACTGTATAACAAAGAGTTTGAACTGAAGGGGTGTTTTGACTCTATGCATCACAGAAGCAAACAGCAAATAACAAAACTAACTGGTCTTTCAAAAGGGGGAGGGTTTCTCTAGTTGAAAGTTATCAAAATATATTCTTTTTGGGATTAAGGCAGACTTATATATTTTTAATCATTATTATAAATGATGGAAATGGGAACGCGGAACGAGGAGTGGATTACAAGATGGAGTATTAAATTGGGCAATTTTTACATATAGCAAATAAAAAATTCATATTTGTATGCTATAGTAAAGTTTGCATAATTGCGCTCCGTAGCAAACATGGAAACTGAATAATTCGCTATACATATACAGTTGAAGCAAATTGTATAAAACGAAGTGTATAAAACAAGAAAAAGAAAGACATTTGGGCAGAGAACTGTATAAAAACGAAGTGTATAAAACGAATTGTATTATTATAAGTGTATAGAACGATTATATACAATTTGAATTTGTATAAAATGAGAAAGAGAGAAAGACAAAAGAGACTTGACAAAGGAATATACAATTGAATCGAATTGTATAAAATGAGAAAGAGAGAAATTAGATATAATTTGAAAATTGTATAAAACGAAAAAGAGAGAAAGGCAAAAGAAACTGGGCAGGGGAGTATTTTTATTGTATAATTATAAGTGTATAGGACGAAAATATGTACTTGCATGTCTATATACAATTTTCTCACGCTCTATACAAACAGAAACGCAATTTATACATTTCGCTTCTGTTTGTATAAGTGAGAAAGGCGAGGGTGGCGAGCGAGATCTGGAAGTGGGGAACAAAAATATATGTAGTTATACAATTTTCTCTGCTTTATACAATTAGAAACAATTTTTATACACTTGTGTTTGTATAAAAAGTGAGGAAGTGAGCGAGAGATTGGAGGAGAGTGACGAGCGAGATATTTGGGAGAGATGCGCCTGACAATTTTTTGCAAGCGTTTGCTATGGAACACAATTAAATCAAATCCTTGCTACTCCATTTATTTTAGGTTATTAGTTTGTTATTATATGCAATTTTCCCTATTAAATTCTCCATTCAAGTAGTCGATCAATTCAGCTAGCTAACTGGACTACTAAAGTAGGTGTTTGATCATATATTTCAAGTATTTTTACTTTGTTTGGAATTTATGAAGTCGGAGTTGTGTTTAATTGTACTTGTTAGCAAATATTGGAATAATGTTTCGTAGTTAAATGCAACTTCAAAAGTGAAAAGTGGATGGAACAAACAATAGTTTATTTTTTTAAAATAATATAATTGAAGTACCAATAAAGATTGCGGTGGAATAGTAAGTATTTCTTAATCCTTAATCAGATGATTGAGGTTTGAGTCTCTTTGACATGGAATGAAATCGTCTTTGTTAGAAAATATTATACAGTTAATATGTAATTTTTCAGCGCGAAATTAAATTTGTGATCTTATATAAATACGAGATACCAATTAAGAATTTAATTAGATTTTAATTTGGTTTCATGATGGATTTTAATTTGATTTCATGATGAAACATCAATTTTCAAATAAAGCGAAAAATTATTTTTTTAATGAATGAATATTTTTTATAACCAAATAGGTCCTAAAATATTTCTACATAAGGTCAAGACATTTTTTTTTTTTGTGATGTAACAAGGCATAAAAATTGCATATAAGTGATGTAAGACATAGTTACAATATTGTTGAGGCTCGCCATTAAATATCAAATTGGTTGGGAGGTATATGGTGTAGTATTAAAAATGCATGAACAACACCGCCAAAGGAATATATTCTATTCATTTCGATTTGTTTATTATATTTTAATTTGACTCATAATTTTAAAATAAAAGATATGTAGAATAATATATCAAAAATATTTTTTAATATGGTAAGTTTAAACATATCAAATAGAAAGTTGCAATTAATAATTATCAAAAGAAATATTATATTTGTAACGAGCTAAAAAAATTTAACCAAACAATTGAAATCGCGATCAAGGAAAAGTAGTAGAACCCCTTTCAATTTATGTGGTAGTATGTTTTTTTTAGTTTGTTTAAATAATTAATTTAATTAATTTGTATTTCAAGACGGTTCAGTTGGTTGGAGAATGGTTAATCACACAGATAATTCGATTCCCTTCCATGCCTTTTGAGTTGAGTATGTAGGAATGACTTGCTAATACAATTTACATTTCTTGTATGGAGAAAAGGATAAATAGACTTCCGAACTTTCGTAATGGTATGCAGATACCTTTCGTGATACTTTTAGGACATAGGTGCCCATGCCGTCAAAAAAGTAGAGCATATATACTCTTTATACTAACGGACATACACGTATCGTAATCTTATCCACTGACCCGATATCGGATCGATGGATAAGATTGTGTCACGTGTCCCTATTTAATCTTCAGTTAGAGTGAAGGGCATATACGCCCTAGTTTTTTTACGGCAGGTGCACCAATGTCCCAAAAATATGACAAAAGATATCTACATACTATTTACGATAGTTCGATAATATATTTATCCTTTTTTTTTATCTTGTATGGTTTACTGGCTATTTCAAAGTGAAGAATTCACTCGATATCATTTAAAAGGTTGTGATAGAAGTTACTATTGCTACGAGATTTCAAAAAAAGAAATTTCTTTTTTATAAAAGATCATATATTATCTTTAATAAATGACATATCACAAGTTTTGAAAGTCTTTTTTTTTTATTTCTATTCAATTACGTGTATAGTTAAATAATATTAAATTAGAAGCTATGGAGTATCAATCATTATCACGTAACTCAACTATGCATACAATGATCATGCCTACCTTTAGGAGTTCGTTACATCAATTGTTTTATGTTTGACTTAAAACATACATATATTTTTTTCGTTTTATATTATTTGATTCATATAAATTTGATATATTAATTTTTTTTTTTAAAATTAAGTTATATTTTATTATTATTTTTCATATTATCTGATTCTGATTGATTTGATCAGGAGCAGAGCTATATATAATCGAAGCAAAATATTACATTATGTTGTATGATTCATTTCATCTTCATAAGATTTCATGTTATTTTTTTTTATCATTGGACTAATTGAAATTGCACATGAAGAATTAGAAAAATCTCTCAAATCAAAGTGGAAAAAAGAGAAAATATGAAGTTTAAAAATTCAGATTTTCTTGTAGTCGAAAAAGAAATAAGTTGTATTTATAGTAATTTTTATACAAGTTATATACACTATAATGTTGGTATGTAGTGTAAACTTTTAATAAATAAAAATTAACACAACGTTTGATTTGTAATTTAGAAAGTCGTATAATTTTTGAAAAATTGATAAATTATCTTGGAGAGTGTAGAAAATAAAATAATTAATATTCGTATAATTAATACCTACAGTATTCTAACCAGCTACCAAATGACCAACTAGTTATTCCACCTTCATTTAATAATGCATAGATTCTTTTGAAACTTAAACATGTATAATGAGAAGTGAATCTGAGATTTTTCGAGCATGAGATCATCAAGAAAAATATATTAAGTGGAATTGATCTTTAGTCTTCGATGTCAAAAGCTCAACTTTTAACCATGTGGACCATTTAGACTGGGTGTAAAAATATAATATTATATAAATTTAAAAAAATATATACATAAAATATCTAATTTTATCTAATGACAACGAATTCCAATGCCTTATTTTTTGCCTCTAAATTTCCCACTGCATATATTAGTTATGTAGATTTTTAAATTGCAAACTAAACACCATATCAATTTTATATATTAAAAAATATACCTTTTAACTAAGACCAAATATAATATTACATGTACAAAATTTAATATATGCACAACTTATCTTACCAGCTTAAAAAAATGTTTATTATGAACCAAAAATTTAAAAAGTCTCTAAAATTATCCCTATTTATATATTTTCCTTCCCTAATCATGAAAATTGAAAAAGAGAGAGAAAAATAAATCAAGTATAAAAATAAAAATAAAAATCTCCCACAATCACTTTTTAAATAATAATATTGCTACTTTAATATTAGGGCACAGGTCAAAATATATAATAATTATAAGTAAGAAAAAAAAAAGTAAAAGAGAATTAAATCTCAAAGGATGCTCATGAAAAAAGGCAGAGAATTAGATTCTTCATTGCCAAACACTTTCTTTTGATATGAATTGTGTCGGATTAAATTTGAATTTACGTAAAAAAAATTATTATAAAAATGAAATGCTTTACAATTAATAAAATCGTCATTGTATCAATGGTGACGATATCTTTATTACTATATAAAAAACCTTATTTCTATGTGTGTCCGCTTTAATATTCGTAACACATCTTCATCTTCTTGACATTTAAGAAAATAAATAAATAAGAATCTAATATGAAATTTATATAATAATATTAATATAGCTAAAGGAGAGTGTTGGTGCAACACCAACATTATCTTTTATATAATGATTTATTACGAGTTTAAATCGTAAAAGTAATAAATCATTAATATACTTTCATAAATTTTACATGAATACAAATATTTTGTATATCAAACTGTCGTTGTTAATATATTATATCTTTGTTTATATATGTATTTATATAGGAATTAACATCAAATGCATTATTCATGTGATCAAATGGTCATTATAAAAAAAAAAAAAACTCATATTTATTTGCAATTACATTTTGTGTCACAAGGTGTCTACTTTAGACCACACTAAAGAGAACACACACCATGCCATCTTTATTTATTACCCACCTTTTATTTATTTTGATCACTCATCTGGTATTCGAAATTTATATATTAATACAATTAATATCAATACACGTAGATATTATTAAAAGATCACTAAAAATAACCTGACTTATCCCAATTCACATAACTATATATTATTAGTCGCAAAGACAGTCATTTTCACTGAAGAGAGTTAAAATATACAAAATAAACTATATATCACATATGGAAAAAAAAATTAAAAAATTAATATAT